GCGGGCCGCCGCAGCCGCGGAGCCTGACCCCGACCCCCACGAGCCGGCCAGCGCTCGGATGGCGCGGGATAGGCCGGACACAGATGCGCCAACTCGCGGAACTCACCATCTTGCTTGTTTCCCGGAAAGGACCGCCTTGTCCGCGCCTGCGCAGTTATCACGAAGTCGCCTACGTGCCCCGCCCCCGACCATGCGTGCGCACTCGCTTCCGCCTTCGCGGCGGTGGACGCACGCCCTCTGCCGTCTGGAGGGCAGAGCGCAGGCTGCGGGGATTAAAAGGGCCGCCGCGTAGGGTGGGTTGGGCCCCTTCCACGGGGGACGGGGTCAGGGGAGGAGTTTGGACACGTCGCCGCCCCTTTCTGAGCCTCAGGTTCGTGCTCTGTAACGTATGCAATGGCAACCACCCCAACGAATGCTTACAGTAGTATAGCAAGAGAGCTTGCTGTTTGCTAGTAGGTGCGGTTTAGGGGTTCGGGTCCCAGTGGGGGAGGCAGACACGAGGGAAGCGGAGAGCTAAGGACAAGGTCACTACGATGTCAGAGCCAAGAGGAGAAGCGGGGTGGCGGGGGACAGACGGGAAGGGGCACGGTAAAGAACCAGTCAGGCTGTAACAGACATAAAACTACATAAAATTAGTAGCTGTAACTGTTGGGTTTGTAATATAGATGTGGTAGGTGTAATAATAGCAGAAAAAGGGGATGAGTGAATAGAGCTTTGTAGAGGTGATGTTACTACATCTCACTGAATTCAGTATAAATCCGAAGGTGACTGTATTAACGTGGTACCATGTGACCCAGCAATTCCACTCCTGAGCATATGCCTAGAAGAGCTAAAAGCAGGGCCTTGAATAGATGTTTGTACGCTCATGTTCACAGCAGCATTATGCACAACAGCTCACAGGCAGAAACAACCCGTGTCCAGGGAGGCATGAATGGATGAACACAACGCGGTCCATCCACACCCTGGACTGTGATTCAGCCTTAAAAAGGAAATCCTGACACGTGCTACAACATGGATGAACTTTGAGGACACTGTGCTCAGTGAAATAAGCTAGTCACAGAAGGACAAATACTGTGTGATTCCTGTAATACAAGGCTCCTAGGGTCGTCGGACCCACAGAGACAGAAAGTAGAATGGTGGGGGCCAGGGGCTGGGGACTTCGTATTTAAAGGGGACAGAGCTTCCGTTTGGGAAGATGAGAAAATTCTGGAGAAGATGGTGGTGACAGTTGCACAACAGTGTAAATAAACGTGCTCAATGCCAATGAGCTGTGCACTTAAAAATGGTTAAGATGGTAAATTTTATGTGTATTTCATCACAGTTTTTAAAAAGCTATGTAAATGGTAAGCCCTAGAGCAACCACTAAGAAAATCACTCAGAAAAATGAAAAATTAATATTTAATGCAAAAGAAAGTATTAACAGGGACAGGCTGCTTAGCTCAGTTGGTTAGAGCATGGTGTTATAACACCCAGCTCAAGGGTTCAGATCCTCGTACCAGCCAGCTGCTAAAAGAAAAAAAAAATTAAAATAAAAAAAATAAGTGTTGACAGAGGAATACAAGAACAAGAAAAGCCACAGGACATACAGAAAAGAAGAAAAATGGCAGATACCATTTACTTGGTAAATCCAAGTATATGAGCCATAACACTCAAGAGGCAAGCAACCCTGCTGTGAGGGGAACCTTCTGGACGGGGGAGAGCTGCAAAGGCCCTGAGGTGGGAATGACCTGGGTGCTGCTGAGACAAAAGGCCAGTGCTGCCTCCCCTGAGCCTCAGTTTCCCTGCCTATGGGCCTGGGCATGAATCCAGGACTGTGTGTCCTGGTGCCCAGCTGTATCACCAGCACCCAGCACAGGTCACAAAATACAGAACGGGGCTCAGTAAATGTTTAGGGATATAAAGGCAGGAAGGACAAGCAATTGGGACAATTGGGGAGTCTAGAAGGTCCCCACTTTAGCCAGAGGGTCCTCACAGTAGATAAAGAAGGGAGCCAGCTCCTGGCCTTTGACTCGAAAGCTTTTACAATTCTTATGTAAGCCTTCCCAAGGTGGGCAAAGCCGCCTGCAGCCCTGGCCAGCTTTCGGGGTGGGGCTTGGCTCAGATGAGTGGCCATGTCTAGGGAGCTGGGGCTGGCCTGCAGGAAACCTAAGCAACAGAGGAATGTGGGTCCTCCAGGGGTAGAAGCTGATTAACCCTTACCCAGAATCTGTCCCCAGGGTGCACCAGCACCCATGTTTGGGGCCTGCAGAAGTCACAATCGGGCATCTGCCCGTTTTCATGTAGCAAACACATCCCAGGGGCTCCTTTGCTGGCTAGAAACTCTTTGATTTCTTGCATGATGCTCCACTGCCAGGGGACTTTATTTGTGCAGGGAACTAATTTCACTAATGGAAACTGCTGACATTTAACACTACAATCACACATGTGGCGGAGAGAAGTCCCAGCTCCCACTTTATCCTTACCTTGATCTTTAAACTGTGAAAACAGAATGCAGGGCTGGTTCCGTGACCTAGCGTGCGGGGTGTTGGCTCAGCCAGCGACTCTCCGAGCTGAGCCAAACCTTCCCTGCCCCCAAAATATAGCTGGGGATGGGGCTTCAAGCCTGGCACATTATAGGCATCCAATGTATTTTGGGCTTCTTGATCCTTGTCTTTTTAAATCTTGATGTGGTCTTCCTTCCATACTAGAATGATGGAATATTCGCCCCTAAAGATATCCGCCTTCTAATTCCAACCTGGGAATATTCCCAGTCACTTTCCATGTCAAAAGATGCAATTAAAGATCTTGAGATGGGGAGATGACCACTGAACCCGGAACCTGGGGCCCCTCACGTCCCCAAAGACAACTGGCAGTGGCCAGTGGACACCCTAAAATCGACATCTACCAGAACCCCAAGAACCCATGAGGGAGGGTCCCAGGATCTCCCCTCGGCCTGGCCCCATAGTCAGGCCTCTGTGCTGGCCCAGCCCAAGAACTCAGATTCACGGAGGGTCACCACAGGCCCAGACCAAGGAGGAAAAAACGGACACAACGTGGGTTTCTAATCCAAACGCACTTTTCTTTATTCAAACCAGGGTCAAACTGGTCAATGGGAAACGCCCTGAAGCCACGTGCCCGAGGAGCTCGGCTCACGCTGTGGGGAGCCCGGACCATGGGTGTTACTATCCACCACCTGCCACCCTCCCTGACCCCCACAGTGCACCTGCAGACACTACCAGGCAGGCCAGTTGACAAAAGCAAGGAATAAACAAAAAACAAAAACACACTCAGTAGATTTCTTCTTTAAGCTCCCAGAGTTTCTGGACCAACAAGTCCCAACCCCCAAAGCCAGGAGTGAGGGGATTAAAAAATGTGCCCCCCACTTCCACCAGTGCCAACAGAAACCCTGTTTTAAATTAAAAAATAAGCCAGTATACATTGTAGAAAATTTCTCTTAAAAATCTCACAATTTGTAAATGTATATTTTTTCTTTAACATAAAAGTTTACAATATATGGTAAAACGAAAGGCTCAGGAAAATAATTTCAAAAAAAAAAAAAAAAAAAAGAAGAAGAAAAAGAAACCTGAAATTTTGAATTAAAGCTGAAGACATTTTTTTTAAACCCTGTTGTTGAACAAGTGACTTTTTCTTTATTGTGCTGCTGGGTTAGAGAAAGAAATGTATTTAAAAACTGCAGTCCAGATACCCACAGCCGCCTCCAAAAGCCTCGCGCCCCCCCCCCCAAGGTTGAGTAGCTATTTTTCTGCCAAGTTTGTGATTGTCACGAGTTCACGAGTTTCAAATCCTGGGTCTCAGCTGGTGCAGACGTCTGCGTGGCGCCACTGGCTAGCGTCGGTAGGGGTGGAATCCTTGCACGTTGTGGTTCTGACCTCGTCCAAAGCCACTGCCGCTGGCGGGGGGGCCCCCTGACCCTGGCACCGAGGGACCCCCATAGGAGGGGGGCTGCTGGCTGGGGTCTGAGAAGCCCTGTCCAAAGCCACTCAAGTCCTGCCCGTAACCTGCTGGGGGGGAGAGAGTCCCATGAGCTGGGGCGGTGGTCCTGCGTGCTGTGGTGCTGACCTCTGAGCAACTCCGCCTGGACTCATTTCTGCCATCCATCCCTGCCTCAGCTTCCAGGGGCTCCCCAGGGCAGGCGGGGTGAGCCCGAGGCACTGGCGGCTACCTTGATTGGGGGGCAGGCAGGTGCCTACCACCTCTGGCAGGGAGACAAGCCCAGGGAGTTCTTATCTCCCTCAAAACCACTTGACTGGGACCCACACAGAAAGAACAGCAGCTTCGAGAGACCTCCGTGGACCAAGTATCTGTTCTTGGCCTCTCTTTCCCACTCGCTCCAGGAAACACGGGGCTTGTCTGGGTTTGGAAACAGACCATCCAACACACCGGGGCAAGCCTCGGTCCCCTAGCAAGTCTCTCCTCACATGGAATGCCCGGCTTCAGGATTTAAGAAAACACAGGACCAGCCCTTGGTGCAGAGCACAGCCACACACACCCCTGGTGGGTGCCCTCAGCTTTTCTAAGGGGCAGTCTCCAGACCCCACCCCTGGTTCTGCCGGGGCGGCCATGCTCTCAAAGCTGCAGCCTAACTTGACGGCTTCCCTAATACCACCTGCAGCAACCCTGAGTGCTCCCTCCTCGTGGGGGGAGGTCTCTGGGCCCACCCTAACTTCACAATGACTCCACCAGCTGAGCAGCATGTCTGGGACAAGCAGGCCCTTCTTCCCTGAACAAGACCCAGACACCTGCACCACTGACCCGCCCAGCACAGTCTTCAAATGGGTGGAGACACCCTGACTCCAGCCCGCCTAACTACACAGTTTGGAGGAAGCCCTGGCCTTGGCCCTCTGGGTTCCCAGTCAAGGGGCACAGGCGGGCCCATGGGCTTTGGGCACTCCCAGGCCCGCTAAAGGCTTGTGGCCAGGCAAGATCCTCAAACCAGCAAGGGCCCCGTCCCAGAAGGCACCGCCGGTGTCCACCCCCGCCCGGGACGGCACGGGAAGGTGCATCTGCTTCCCAGGTGCAGGCAGGAGGGAGGGTCGTGTAGGAAGAGGCGGCACCTACCTAGGCCACATCACTGCTCAGCCTGACCATAATAGTGTAAACAAAGTATGGGCCCGAAGCCTGATGGGTCTCGAGAATAGGTACCCAGGCCTGGCAAGAGACGAGACCAGGGTAACTAACCCGAGGCAGCTGTGACAGAGAGGAGCGGGCAGACACGCACGCACACCCCACCCGAGTGCTCCACGCTCCCCCTGCCAGCCACAGACATGCCAAGGCTTTGCGGCAGGTCAAGAACCGACACACACAGTGACCACAACCCAGGGCCTGGGCCATCAGGGCCCCCAGGGGAGCCTGAGCCATGTGAGTCGGGTGGGTGCCTAGGGCGAGACACAGCTCCAACAATGAAGCTGACAGCAGATGTCTGTCCAGGCCAGGAAACCAGGGCTAGTGGAGCTGCGGCTTCCTTTTGTGGGGCGTGAGTCTGGGCCACCTAGTGACAGGGAGCCCGCAGGTGCCACGGGGAGCCCCCCAGCCTGCAAGCCTTCCCCACTGAGATCACTGTGTCCATCCTGAACGAGGCTGGCCCTGACACCAGGCTCCACAGGGGGTGAACAAGAGACACACAGAGACCACGTCCTGCCTCGAGCATGTACCCCAACAATCTACTCCCCGAAGCCACATGCGGGGCCTCCGAATCACATCTGGGCAGCACCCACGTGGCACTAGGCACACATCCAAGCCCAGCACGATGCCCACGTCCAAGACAGGGCCTGCTAGACTACCCTGCGCAGGTCTGCGCCCAAGGCAGGCTGTTGAGGCTGGAAAATCAAAATAACCAAAGGGCCAGAGCTCCCAGGACCCCCTCACCAGGGACCTTGACTAAGGACACTGAATGCAGCTCCGCCGCAGTCTTGCTGTGGCCCCTTGGCCCAGTCATGGCTCAGGATCCCAGACCCACAGGCCTCGGGACACTTGCTGTGTGACTGAGAATTTTCTGTGACTAACAGAATGCTGCTCTGCATTTTGCTAGGGACATAGTTGCCACAAGCTCTTCCCAACAACCCCTGCGCCACAGCTCTCCCGACTTCCTCCCTCTCACGCCAGATAAACGCCGGTGGTAAGAAGGCAGGAGACGGCAGGGCCGTGTCCCAGGGCTCCGGAGCCAGCAAGGAGGATGTTCGCTGCGTGGCAAGAGACCACTTACCATACTGACTATAGGGGAAGTCTGGCTGAGCTGTCGGGGGTTTGCTCATGTCTGGGGCAGCCTGAGACGGAGGTGGTGGGAAGGCCAGAGGTGCTGCCCCTGGAGTGGCAGGTGGAGGAGGAACCCCGGGAGGGGCAAACTGATCCGGTGGTGGAGGTGGAGGCCCATAGCCAAAACCTGCAGACACACAAGGAAACAAGGCACAGACACATGCACAGCCGCCTGGCAGCAGCTGCCCAGACAGCATATCCATCTAAAACCCATACAAGGGACCACAGAGCCGCACTCCTGGGCTGCTGCCCTGAGGAAATGACCCATGCTAGGGAGACTGACAGGCGTGAATGTTTGTGGGGTATGGATTAGGGCACCACGTTGGACACAGGACCGAATTAGATGGTAATTTTTTTGGGTGGCTGGCTGGTACAGGGATACAAACCCTTGATCTTGGTGTTATACAACCACGCTCTACTGCCTGAGCTAACCAGCCAGTCCTAGATGGTAATTTAAGTAGTAAATAATTGCACGGCAAAATTGCTCTTTAAAATGCACAAAAGTCTACCACCAAACACAGCACAATTCACATGCCTTGCTGTCCGTACAGGCAAGGGCCATGTTTGTCGAGCTCTCCAAATAGGTGGATGTGCTGGGTGATGGCCACCATACCACTATGGTGTTGGGCTTCAGACAGCCTCAGGTTCCACCCAATTCCCACCTTGTTAGAAGGTCAGGTATGGTCTAGGCCAGAAGTCAGCAAACCTCTTCTGTAAAAGGCCACCCAGTCAGTCTTTGGCCAGAGGGCTTTAGTGTGTCAAGCCGTGGTCCAGACCACAGAACTGAACTGTCCAGTCCTGTGGCCACTGGCCACATGTAGCCTCTGAACCCCCAAAATGTGACTGGTCCAAACTGTGATATGCCCCAAATGCAAAACACACTGTGGTTCCCAAGGACTGAATATGAAAAAGAAACTAAACCATTTTTGCTGGTTGCATGTTCAGGTGAACCTCCTCAGCTACACTGGGAGAGGCGACAGCAGGTGGTGCACCTGTTTCTCTGTAGGTCTGAAATAGGGCTATCAGAAAACCCACAACCACCAGGGTGTGGCCTGTGTCCTTTTCTACTGGAGGGTGCGAGTCCCTACACATGGAGGACGTAGGAAAGCACGCTAATATTCCTGGGCCTGTCGGCTGATTTTACACCCAAATGTTCAATCATAAAGCAAAGCATATGGGAAAATTAACCAAGAATTAAAGCTTTTTACACCCTCAAACGCCCCTCATTTCTGAGTAAAGAAGAAGAGATGAAGTGCAAACACTGCACATCTTGAGAGGTCAATGTAAGGAAGTGAGAGTTAGGTGCTAACGTTTGTGCTGCGAACATCCACGGGAACTGCAGGAGCCCTGCCATGTCCTCCAGTTTAACAAATGGGGCCAAAGGCTCGGTCCCTGGGCTCTGCATCCAGGCAGAGAGATGGGTGGCAGGTGACCGCCAAGCACTCTGTCCATTGCCTTCCGGGTGGCTGAGCTGCACTAGGTCCCATCCCACCCCCTACAGGGGCCCAGCCACCACTTACTGAACTGCGGTGGGGCGCCGTAGCCCTGTGGGAAGCCCTGAGGAGGGGGGAAGCCTCCAGGAGGGGTGGACACGATGTAGGAGGTGAACGGCGGGGGCGGCGGGGGGGCCCCTCTTCCTGCAGG